CTACATGGGAGATTCGGAAGGGCAACAAAATGCAGGTGGAATAGGGGGCCCTGATCGTGTGTTTGGAAGTGAAGCAAATGTGTCATGCGAAAAACATCATGTCATCAGGCTGATATCCACCGCATCCAAGCTACTCTGTGACATTATTTTGTTCAGGTTGATCTACTGTCGAGAGAGACAAACTGCCATGAATCAAGCTGATTTTCACCATGACTGAGAATGCGTCCACTATTTCTTAGCTTTCAGGTAAGTTACTGAAAGAAACCACTCTTTCAGACGTGTCACGTTGCTTGTTTTTCCTGAGCTGACAGCTGCTTTTAACTCTGTCGATCCTTTGAGATCAAAGGGGTTCTTCCTAAATTTATATCCCTTGTGAGTTCAATCCAATTGAATTCCTTTGCGCGCGTACGCCTTTAAATTTAGCTTTCGCTTGAGTTAACCATATCCTGTTCCTGACTGTGGAACCTCGGGGATTGAAATGCATTCACCCACATTCATTGAATACGTGAATTTTACTGCTCTCCTTTGTTCAGATCCTTCAGAGTGAAGACCTAGCCTAAGCAGATGTACCGCACAGCTTGGTATGCGCTCCACACCTGCAAATTGTAAATTGGTGCTACATAATTGGATGGCATGAAGCCAATACATTATGCTTGAAAACTAGTTGGTGATTCTCCCTTTGGTTCAGATCCTTTCAAAATGCAAACCATTTCAAATAACCCAAACAACCCTGCCACATGGTTTGACATGCGCTTCGCATTTGCGAAGTGGTTCTACAAGACTGAGTAGGAGAAAGGCCAAATATTGTTCCTGCACAATCGACGTGGAAGATAACGTTATTTGCAGGGACCTTTGTATGAATACCAGTAGATTGCTGGAGACGAAATTAATTGTTGAAATGAGAGAGTCAGGGTAGCTTTTGCCAATTTCTGACAGTGATGGCGCAGGCGTGGCGTCAGTTTATCCCTCAGTAGCACGGTTTTCACTGTGGCTTTGCGATCCATACGGTAGAAAGATATTTGGCCTTTAAGTGCAGAGAACATACGTAAAATGTTTGAACGTCGGTGCTCCAAGTATCGGTCTGGTTTTGTGGAAGCATCGAATTCTGAGGTTCGTCAGATTGTCCAAGGAAGAATGAACTCCCCACGATAGACAAATTACCCACAATCCCAATGTTACGCTGGTTAGGTAATGCACTCCACATGCCAGAAGACAGTCTGCGTCGCAGAGCTTTTTTCACCCAACCCTGTGCTGAGTGGAAGCGACCGAGAGGTGAACAGTGTGACCCGGCAATGAAGTATGAAAACGCTAACCAATAAACTGCCGCCTCCCTGAATGGGAAGTCCAGGAACCAATTATTCAATGGTTAGTAACACCGGCTGACATGGCTCAGTCATGCAGTCAATGGTAGTCGTGCGTCAAATATATCATCTTCAGTCAGTTGATGCCTAGTTGTTATCGTCTTCAATACTTGGCTGTATTTTTAGGCTTCCAATTTCCGGTGACACAAAATGTAGCAGCTGGAAACAACTTACACTTGTTTTGTAGGTGGCATACTAGTTGAACTGACTGGAATTATGCCTTCAGATGTCGGCCTAGACATAGATCTAGGGAAAGCTGCCGAATGCTACTCACACCGAACTTTGAGGGCGACTTTGATCTACTGGCAAAATTTTATGCGAAATTCAATCATCTAGCCACCTCATTCGCATCTCGTTTTGCAGGAAATTCAATAATCCCAAAACGGTTGTTTTATACCAATAAAGTTTGTTGACCACATATTTAGCTGTTAGTTGGATGACATGCTACTCAGATTTCGGTCAGCAGCCAGAAGATCTAAAACAAATTGAAGTCATTTTTGAAAGACAATAAGCCTGTTTGGAGCAACCGAATAATAACACAAAAATTGCAATTAGTGCGCTGTTTCATTGTCTACACTTTTCTAAGGAAGTACGAGCTGCACGGCATACTGGTGTTATATCCGGATTCTCACCTAATTTTATCCCAAATTTATACGGGAGGATGATGCGTCTACTCAGGTCAACCGGATTCCGATTACGCATATTCTTCACAGGGCAAAAACACAAGATCAGGGGTATGTCAGTGCACAGCCAGCTCCACTGAGTCGGTCATAAACAAAACATAGCTTTGGGAAAAGTGGAAGGTCTCAGACTTCACTTTGATACTGACCATGGAAAAATCAGGTACTGGACAGAGAAACCTAGTGAACTACCACACAGGTGGATGTATTGCATTCCGAGATGCAGTGGGTCTCCGTACCCTAACGCAGACTGTCTATCCATAAGCGACCTGCGACAAGTATCAATTTCACGAAGGAAAAACGAATGGAGCTGTACAACCTCTGTTCGCAAATGAATGAGTAAATTCGAACCAGCGGTTTCATGCTGCATTAGCCGCTGAACGTCGGCGTGTAAGGTGGCGTACTTTCATTCCAATTCCTGATATACTAACCGATGCCATTCGTGCATCCATTCAGCTCGTTCGACCATGACAACACCTCTTGGACAGGTACATTTACATGGCACCGAATTGAGAACGCGTCATGCAATAACGAAAACTAATGGAATGCTGGCGCTTATTATAATGACACCATTTACCAGAGGATGATTCCAATCTAGTTTCCCGTCTTCTGTCGACTTCCATTGCCCCTATACGGGGAGATGCAGAAGAAGAACTCGCCTGATCTCTCCAACCTCCCCGCTCCGAAAAAGAATAGTCTTACAAAACGGTGAAACTTCCATCGGAGAGGTCATCACTCGAGGACCCAGCCAAAATTTATTACCTCTTGGTGTGTACCCCATGAGTGAAGAACGAGTTTGGCTGTCTTGACTTTGCGCAAGTTAATCACATTGCTGATCAGCCGCTCGCAACAGATGGGTTACGTGGTCAAATTACCAACTGGGAGGCCGGTTGGGGTTGGAGCTTTACGAGACGTGTACTGCTGATGATTTCCAGTAAAGATGAATCAGCTGAAATGTTCTCGGATTTTCACTACAAACTGGCTTTACTTAGGGGGTGCGAATACAAGTGAAATTTCCAAAATCTTAAGAGTATCAACATTACGTTATATTATTTAAATCTTGCTATAAGTTCTCGACTTCTCAAATCGTACACAGGAAGCGGCAAGATTCGATCTTCACTGTCGACCCTTCTACTACTGGATGTGAGTCTATTTGGTAGACATTTGATGTACTTTGGAACAGGTAATCTATTTAGCTCAAATCAACACATCCTGGTTTGCTAACAGCGTATAAATTATAGAAGAAGTATCCAATCCAATCTGTTTTTTTGACGGTATTGTGCGAAATATATAAGTGGTTGAAAATCACTGTGTTAGGTGATGCCATAGACGCTCAAGCACAAGGTCGGACGCGTTCATTTCACAACGGAATCTTACCTCTCCCACAGAAATTGCAGAAATTTCGGATTGAACATGCAACGTTTTCTTACGGTAGACAGACCTGTAAGCGCATCTGTCATCTCGACGATGTAACTCAATGTTTGATAGCGCCATCATTCTGTTTACTTATTTTTCATTGCTCATCTCGATGTTAAATTGGGGGCCATTCGAGATGAGGGAATAGATAATACACCATCCAAGTAGTTAAAGGAGGGCACTGATTTCAGTATACATTTTTCCACAAAAATGAAACGAGGGCGGTTCCTATTGGAGGAAACTCTTCACATGTTTACTGAAAACCTTTCGACAGACGACCATTGGTTTCGCTCCTCTGAAGAGGGATAGCCGCATTCGTCCAGGTTCCATCGAATTTATGTTCTCCTTGAACCTAGAATCTACGAAATTCGCAAAATGTATTCATTTGCACGCCGATTTGATTCCGATAGGACTTTTCATGTAGTAGTATTAAAAATCGAAGTAGAATCTACGTGCACGAAGTACACATGCTTTGAGTTAAATTAATGGCAAAGAAGCTGTTTTCCTGGGTGTCCAACACATTTGCGCGGCATGAGTTGCAATTAAGCCTGCGGTACGCTTTTACCCGAATTCACCACATAATTTGTCCGATATACATTAACTTTTATTCACGTTGTCTTCGTGATGAACTGCTTAGAATGTCCACCCATACAGATTGCACATACAGACGATGAACGTCACGTCCAGAAAATTGTCTGTCGTATGACTCAAAGTGGAAACTGTTGGAGCATGACTGTGTTGGATTGAACCAATTACTACTGTTTGTGGGGGTAACAGTCAACGTTGGACAGTCGAACCACCTGGGCAGTTGCGTTAATTTTGACTGTTCGGTCAGAAGCCGTTTTCTTATGAAAGGGCAATAGCGATGCGGATCTTTGAACTGTCCGCTATCGGTTTAATTCAGTAAGCTGCAGTGCGCTCTATTTCTTCATGTGATTCAGAACACTAATAAATTCAACCGCCCAATTTGGGGATAATTTCGGCGTTGATGCGGTGCTTGTCTCTATCGCGAACAACAGACTGGAAACACTATGATCCGTCAGGTGGTATCCGGAGAAAAGAACTCACGAGGCGGTTTGGTGACATTTCATGGGTCACTCCCGCGTAACGTCCCGAATATTTTTTTGGACATGCGAGTGAATAAAGCAGTCTGGGGGACGAGGTATAATTAACTCGATGATTAATAGAAGACGGTCATCTGGTCAACTAATACTAACTCTTTATTTGGTCTGGTCAAATATCAACAGACGTGATAGTCTCGAGCACGGAAGAAAAACGAACGCTAGAGGAAAAGAAAAAGACTTGGGAAATATCTGAAAAAACTGTGGATAAGACAGCTTGACAATGAAGCCGGAGTACGGAATGTCAGGTCGGGGAAATGAAGGCTTCTTCAGCATAGTCAGTCCATAGTACAGCCACAGGAATAGCGTAGAGCGCAGAAAGGATTAAAAAGTTTGAATGAGGGAACAGTGAATCTAGAAACTCCTGCATACAAGAGACACAACGAACCATGGACGAGTACATACGCTGCCTGCCTCAACAGTTACACCAACGGATAGGTGGAAACAGATGCCACGCCACACATGTTCACCCCGCGCCTCAGTCTCAGATAGCCCTTTTCACCCCAGCGTTCACCCCAGCTGTTCTTAATAATCCAGTAAGGGATTCCGTTCTCTTCGCCGTAGCCAACAGCCAACATCGCGTGATCGGAGTGTGTTCCGCAGCGTCGGTCGGAATAGATATCTGTGGTCAAAAGTTTTGGAGAGCAAAATAATGAGCTCACGCAAAATAAACCAGTGGGAACAATGCGTTTCAAACGGAAACGCTTGGCTATTGTACGTATGTGATGGAGGTGTTCTCGAACTCAACAGCATTTCATAAAACATGGCCTTTACTAGGGACGCAACGGCAAGAAGACCTGGATGGTAGTTAATGTGGTACGTGTGCACAGTTTTGGCATTTCAAACAACTATCGTGTTTTTGATTCCTTAGAACAAGAGGGACATGAGTCATCGCATCCTTGTTGCTTTGACCAACACCGATGTCTTTCAGGAAGTAGCAAACACCTACCCGAGAGTTCCGGTTGGCCATTTTCTTCAACAACTGAGAACCAATACGCCTAACTTCCACTTTTTCTAGAAGTCGGCAAACCGACTGGATGTAAAACGAGGAACAGACCCAAATAAAAACCACTGACGATTGGGCCATACTTCCATACATCAGATCCTGTGAACTCGCCTGGCATTTCGCCTGTCTGCTGGTGTGAGTAGAGCCCTCACAAGCAGGATTCAGAGAAGTGGAACAAAATGGAGTATGGCGAATTTATGTTGATGCTTTAGTTAATTACGATGCAATTTTTAGCTTTGAGAAAATGCCGTGAACAAGAATTAGCAGAATGTGTTTTGTAGACCTTCGGTATGTGGGACGTTTTGTAAAGGCTATCAATGAACTACGGACAGACGTTAAGGTCAAAAAATAACAAAACACCGATGAGCTTGGATAGCTTAACTGTCTCCCAGAAAAAAACTTGTAAACCGTAGGAATCCAGGAAAGATTAAACAAACGCCGTTTTGAAAATATCGAATAGATATTGAATTTGTTCCCATATAAGCTTATGTGATTTTCTGTGATATACATACAGAGATCAGTCCTGAACATTATTTCTGCATGATTTAATCGCTTGCTTCTGGTCACACGGGCATGTAAATGTCCACGAAAAGATAATAGGTATTCCTCGCTGAATGCACTGTAACGGTGTAAACTGTAGCACTTCGCATTAGGATTTTTGTTGACAGCAGTTTCTTGTAGTGGATCATGTGTTGAAAACGGTCCAGAAATTTGGACACCTAATAATAATTAAGTGTCAATTTCTGAAAGGTCGTTTGTCACGAATTTTTCTGCCCATTGGTGTCTCACAGTTTGTCCTAAGATTACTTCCAGCTTTCGCCTTTTCTCAGTGTATCGACTTTTGTGTACGTCTCAACATCCCGAGTAACCTCCTAGTTGAGTATCTGTTAGCCGCGAACAGCATATAAAAATTCTTTTCTTGTTCTATCTTGCCGGAAAGCTGATTCAAAGTATGATGAAATGTATGCATCTTTATTCCCCTGCTGAGAAACCGAAGGGAACACCTGGAGATGGTATTAGAACAGGTTGAATGGAAGTTGGAGGGGGCATCGAAAGTTGTATCTGGTCGGGTCAGATTGAGCAGGAACTGTATGTCAGAGGTTTTCATTTTTAGATTCAGAGCCAGTTCAGAGCTGAAAGCTGGTCAAATAATTAAGTGGTCCTCACATGTACTCGTTTCATTTCCCGTAGTTCAAAGAGCATTCTTCTTTTTTTCGTTAAAATCCTGATTAGTGCTATGTTGTCATCTTTGTTCTAACAGTAAGCATAGACGTGCGATACTGCACCTTCCTTTGGATGTTCATGATTTTCTTCCTGGCACCAAAATTAAAGTCTCTCTGGACGAGGAAACAAACAATTTCTTCACTGCGGTCCACTTTGTCCCGGCTCGAGGACGAGTTTTTAACCGTGATGTGATGTAAACACTTATGGATAATTTCATTTCCTGAAGGTGTTCATCACCATTCTCAACAGGTGGACATCATTGGCTGTAAATCTCTTTGCATATCATGGATAGGCCAGAATGCATTTTTAAAGTACGATCGAAAAATTACTCGGACTGAGCCGCGATGCACAAATGAGTCTTCTCGATTGTCAGCGTGAGAGGCATTCTTACCGTCAGGTGCTACTTGTTCTGGTAGAGCGTTATTCAAATCGTTGAAATCAACCCAGTAAGCCTTGCTCTGCTTTCGGCCTGAATCTTTCTTATTCTGTTAAATTACCCAATCAACTGAAGCCACTAGGTTGACATTTCCTCTGAAAGTAATCGCAACAATTGTGAAGTCTTGTTCTCTGGTCTAGTTTGAGGCTCTTTTGGCCAAACGAATAAGGTCACGCCTTCGTTAACGAAAACACCTGAGCCAGATGGTATATCTACCCTGATCCGAGTGGAACAGTTGCACGTTAATGTGTCTTTTATTTAGGAACAGAGTTTCTAACTTCTTAAATTAATTTAAGCGCTTGAAAAATAATGTTTAAAATGGTAAATTTTCGGAAAAAGTAACTTCGGTAACTATCCTTTTTGAATGAAAATGATTAAATTTCGAGCACTAGCTTTCTCTTCATAAGCTGGTAGACTGGTAGTGGAAGCTCTGTGGGCCACCAGGATAACTAAAAAGTGAAAAAAGCTGTCTAGTTAAAATGAAAGGGTATTAGTAATACGTAGAAGGGAAATTCTGCAGTTAGAGGAGAGTGATGAGCTCAGCGACAGCTTCAGAAAACAGCGTTGATTTCGGATGATCCGTTGACTTCCAAATCAATAAAGTGTATCCCTCTAAATGTGAACTTAATTACCTTCCTGTTCACACCGGACACCAAACAGACGTTCAGCAAGTCCTGCAGGTAAACATCCATTTTGAACCCGGTTGCGAATCAAGCAAATTTCTGGCAGAGTGTAGCTGCCTTGCTGAGATACTCGAATATCTGTCAGGTTATAAATGTGTGTGATTTACTCCCGCATAAATTGCAGATCACATTTTACCGTCTTCCTTCGCTCTTGTTCACCTAGGAGCATTCAGGTTTTACATGTACAGCAGTCAAACCGGCTGTTCACTAAATTCAGGTCAAACTGGATAACCACCCTTTGGAAGACAAATTCCAGTCAACAAGGTCACCACAGTTGCGTTTTTAAAGTTCCTGTAACAGTGCGGATGGGAGGTAGGCGATTTGAACAAAGTTAACGTTTTCGAGCTTTCTTACGGATCGCGCGAGTTACGGAAGCCGAAGGGTACATATCGAGTTCCGTGCTGACCAGTTCATGTCGTTTTGCCATGCGATGTTGCCAGTAACACGCCAAGCGAGAGTAGCTGACCTAACTGTGCAAAATCACTTGTGAACGGTATATCCGGATGAATATCACCAAGTCCCTGAAAAAGAGCACCAATAGAAGTGACCACAATGTAGTGACAACACCCGCAATCTGTCCTAAAACATAACCGATTCTGTCTTACTAGCCATTGCTGAATGTTCCACTCTGAACATAAATAATTTTGCAAGTGTACAGTCAAGTGGGGAATATGTGCATAATCCATACAT